GGACCGCTTCTTCCTGACTCCCAACTGGTGGAACTAGATGTATGGACCGCTTCTTCCTGACTCCCAACTGGTGGAACTAGATGTATGGACCGCTTCTTCCTGACTCCCAACTGGTGGAACTAGATGTACGGACCGCTTCTTCCTGACTCCCAACTGGTGGAACTAGATGTACGGACCGCTTCTTCCTGACTCCCAACTGGTGGAACTAGATGTACGGACCGCTTCCTCTTGACTCCCAACTGGTGGAACTAGATGTACGGACCGCTTCTTCTTGACTCTTCACAGGTGGAATCAGATGTTTGGACTGACAATGTGCTTCTTCTCTACATTACCACACAAAACACAAAAATACAAATTGGTGGTACTTGGAAACTCCCGCCCTAGCCATTTTTCAAATCAATAAAGCTACATTTGGATGTGTATGGGTAAAACCCGTGACATGGTAATATTTACATAACTATGTCGTTTTTAACATTTACATAACTAGGTCGTCTTTATCATTGACTTAACTAGGTCGTCTTTAACATTTACTTACTTAACTAGGTCGACTTTAACATTGACGTAACTAGGTCGTCTTTAACATTTACATAACTAGGTCATCTTTAACCTTTACATAACTTTGCTATCGTTAACCTTTACATAACGAGGTCGTCTTTAACCATTACATAACCAGATCGTCTTTAACACTTACATAACTGGGTTGTCTTTAAACATTTACAGGACATTATCTTCACCAACAATTGCACCATAATTTAAAGACTGTCTCTAAATCTTACATCAAGATTTGCTCTAATATTTGGTTTATTTAAAATGAACCATGTTTTTTAAACGTTTCTTTTACATAACCCGGTTGTAATTGAAATAACTTATTGTATTCCAGAAAACTAATTACGCCATGGTAATAGAACATTTTGTAAAAGCTAAGCTCATGATTGGTCGCAGAATGTTGTCTATCAGTAATGCGAGCTGATATTTTTTAATTTTTTTATATTTTTTTTAGAAACTTTGTCTCAAAAGACTGAAACCTGATTTTAATACGAACAGGCTTGTCTTGGGAAATAATTATTAACTACCTTTTTAAAGGACACATTTTGTCTTAAAGCAGAGGGGGGGGGTGGGGGTGGGAAAGTTTCACTGTTCCGACTCCATGACACTCACACATTATGTTTCTCCTCTCGGTGAGTCACATCCTCACTTGTTGCTTGCAAGCCGGTTGTGTTACGTCACCCAAGCCCTTCATAAGTTGTTATGTGTGGCATTGGAGAAGAAACAACATGCACAGATTCACTAGATTTACTTCATTGTTTGAAAATCTCGCAGCGTGACGTACCAAAACTCTTGAAATAATACTAGTTATATTTAATAATAATAAATAATAATAACAGGTCTTATATAGCGCGGTACCCCAGCCTAGGGCTGGGCTCACCGCGCTGTACATAATTTTTTTTAACAAACGAAACATAATCATGACATTAAAATAAAATACATTTATGAAATAAAGAACAGCAATGTATATTCACCCACCCCAGCACATAAATTTTACAAGGCAAGCCATGGACGGCAGCCAGCAAGATCGTTTATCGGTCAGAGGAGAGGAATCAGTCAGGGAAGTATAATTTAAAAAGAATGTTTTGAGTGCAGTTTTGAAGGCCTGGGTGGTTGGTCTATTGCGAATGTGCAGTGGCAAAGAATTCCATTGTTTGGGGGCGCAGAAAGAGAAAGATCGTTCACCATATGTTTTAGTGTGTGTCTTGGGAACGGACAGAATACACGTGTCTGCAGAGGAGCGAAGCTGTCGAAGGGGTGAATAGACAGAAAGAAGTTCTGTTAGATAGGAAGGGCAGGAATCCAAGAAAAAGTTGTGACAGAGAACAGACAACTTGTAGTCAATGCGTGCCTGTATAAGGAGCCAATGAAGGGAGTGGAGTAGTGGAGTGACGTGATCGCGTTTTTTTTGTTTTTTTTTTTTGCCTTTAAAACTAGCCTAGCAGCTGAGTTTTGAACTTTCTGCAGTTTTTCTATGTAGTGTTTTGTGAACCTGACAGAAGTTGCAATAGTCAAGACGAGAGAGAACAAGAGCACAGATTAGAGTTTTTGTATTTACCGATAGGTTTATGGAGCTTTGGCAGAACTCGTCGTTCCATTACCCGGATATGACGTGCATGTTGGTAGGTCAATTGTAGAGCTGTAACTAACACAAATGTCGAATAGGTTGCAGAATTATTACTTTTAACGTAGGTGGTAGACCTTTGTTCTCTGTTATAGAATATGAGTTGTTTGAAATGATAGAGTTGAAATTGATAAATGAGTTCACAACATCTAACCTTGTTGTAATCTCGGTTCAATATCAAAATTAATCAAAGAGATATTTAATCTAGAATTTTTTAGAAGGTTGGGGGGATGGGGGGGGGGGGTAGAAAGGAGATGGAGCCTTTTAAATGAACCACCAAATGGCTATAAATATGTAAAAGCCTTTCACATTTTTTTAAACGTTTTTTTTTCTTTTTTTTTTTTTAATTTTTCTTTTTTTTTTTTTTTTTTTTTTGATATGCAATAAACTCGTTTTTGTGGCGACCAAAAGAAAAATAGGTTGGGGGGATGGGGGGGGGGTAGAAAGGAGATGGAGCCTTTTAAATGAACCACCAAATGGCTATAAATATGTAAAAGCCTTTCACATTTTTTTAAACGTTTTTTTTTCTTTTTTTTTTTTTAAATTTACTTGTTCTCTTTTCAGTTGCTTAGACATGCAATAAACTCGTTATTGTGGCGACCAAAAGAAAAAGACATACCCTATGTTGTACGCCGAAGTCCTTAGTTGTACACATGTGCACATGTAGGCTAACTACTAGTGAACATTCTAACGCAAGTACAGCTTTGCGTTCATGGCCATGACTAGAATGTACACTGTTTGTCTTAAACATATTTGTTTGAGTTTACAGCCATCTTTATGACTTATTGATAAATAGTGGCCGTTTATTTTTTAATTAGCACCCCTACGGGCGGGCAATTTTGCCTCAATCCTTCCACGAACAGACTTTCAAGTTGCCAGAAAATAGCTCCGCTCCACATAAAAAGAAAAAGTCCCCCTGCGCAACCCCTTCCGTCGCCACTGTCCATACGTACGCCTTCTTGTAAGAATGTAAGCTATAAATGCGCAAAAATAGTAAATTAAGCCTATAACTTTAAGTTAAAAATAAAATCAAGTTTAAAAGTAAGATGTGACATGTTCAATAACCACGGCAGCTCTACTCTTAACAGTTGAGTTGAGAATTGAGAATGAAAAGAATTTTAAAAAAAAAACATAATTGGTAAACTGGCTAGTGAATGAATAAAGCTACTAATTTCGTAACAGATTTATTATTGGTGTTTTCTGGACCTTCAATCAATTATATATAGTCTATTATAGTCTATATTTTTTTTAAATAACATAATTCGAAGATATATTTTTTTTTCTTTCGATTCTTATTATTATTATGACTTTTAGATTAATTAAATATTTAAAAATGCAAACTATAATAGACAGGGTCATATTTAAAGAATTTTTAAATTTAAAAATATAAAAATGAATAGAAGTTAAGCTTTCATTGCATTTGAAATGGATTATTGGGGCCAAATATAAATTTAATTTTTAATGTTAAATTTGTTTTCCATTTTCACTTTCACTTTTCTTTATTTCCAGTTCCGGTAAATTCATTTCACGAAGTAGAATTAAGATTTTGTATTCACTTTTATTATATTATTTTATTATTTTATTCAGGTCTTATTTTGACTTTTTTCAGGTTTTATGATACACACAAATTAACCAGAAATGAAATACGATTATTTTTAATAATTTGAATATCGATTTCATAATTGAGACAGTATTTATTTTCTGCTGATTTATAAAAAAGTAAAATTTAATATTTTGGCAGTATTTATTAGCATTATTGTCATTGGAATTAGTAATTAGTTTAGGCTAAGCCAAGCCGAGCGGCTTAGGCTCGGCTAGGCATTATCATTAGTCATTAATTTAGGTCTACTTACCTCTAATTTTTTAAAGGAAAATTAAGACATGTCACCGTTATAGAAGTTATTTAGTATTTAAATTAAAACGGTAAACTAAATAAGATAAAAATATATTGCATTTTTTTTAAACCATTAATGATTTAGCATCTATTAATGCACGCAGGCATATCGTCAAACGTATCATATTAATAAGTACCGGGGTATCAAATTTTTAAAGTTGAAGGAATAAGCTAAGCTACTTTCAATTTCAAGGTAGAGTCAGAATTATAATAATTGCCTCATATAATTAATTAAAGTGACAGCTGTTTATCATTATTAATAGTAATATGCTGAAGACAAAAATGTTAATTTTAATTTACAAATTCATGTACAATAGTACTAGTAGGAATAAAAAGAATTAATTTAAAATACTAAATAACTTTAACTTTAAAAAAATGTGAAATGCAACTAACTAATTTAGTATTAATATATGTATCGTATCGCCTTTAGCCTTTAGTAAGACAGTACCTTGTTCCTACTAAACAATTTTACTTGTGGATGTTGGTAAATTTTTATAAACTTTTCACACTCGGGATTGATTATTAAATTTTTATCTCACAGTTTGAGAGCTATTGGGACATGAATGAGTTATTAGAAAAAATAAAATGTTAATATAATTTAATATATCAACATTTGTGAATATAAACGGATTGTTTCTACCTAATATATTTTTTATTGCAGATATCAATAACAACAATATGATTTGATGAGCTGAAAATGAGAAGTGGTTTGAATGTTTTTTAAATATTTCAAGGCAACTAGAACATAAATGGAATCTGAATCAGAACTTAATGTGGGTGATGCATTTGATGATTTCGGAAGATTAAAATGGGCGATAGAACTTTTTGAAAAAACTCAGAAATCTAATTACTGGATAAGAGACTGTAGAACAATAGAAGCAGCACAGAAGAAAGGAATTAAGAGGCCCATAAAGGAAACCTTGGTTTATTATAATCTTACATGGGCTTGTGTGAAAGGTGGTCGCAGTTACGATGAAAGGTAGTGACACAGACAAAGCCTTAAGTTTAATTTTTATTCTGCAAACTTTTTTCACATATTTTATTATGAAAATATAGTATATGATGTCAGACTAATGTTTATCAAAACAAGAGTATGTTCCCTTTCTGTTGGTAAACACAAAATGTGTGCACGAGTTATTCTGTTATTATGTTTTAAGTGTTTGTCTTTTTTCTGCTCAGCACTCGATCGCCCAGGGGTGACTGTGGATCTTATGTGAAAGTTGCAGTGAGCAAAGATGGCCAAGCACTGGTTATTAAAGACATATGCACTAATCATAACCATGATACATCACAGGTTTGAAGTAGTTCCAGAGAAAATTGTAGCCTATATTTAGTAAAAGTTAAAAAATTTCAGCTTACACAGAAAAAAGTATTGTTCTCACATTAAGATGGCAGTGATTCTGTTTGCATTTATAGAAAAATAAAATTGTGAAATTAAACTAGTAATATGCAAATTTTAATAATAGAATCATTTATGGCATGTGTATTAATTGATGGTTAAAGTAAATTGATATTTTTAGAAGACACTAGGGTTGCACCAAATAATTGGCAGATAATCTAATCTGGCAGATGTGCCTAATCTGCCATTTAGCCATTTTAACTCTTTCCATGCCGGGGAGGGGGTGGGGTTTCCATGATTGTGCTAGACCATTTTTCGGCCACTGGAAATTTTTTAAGATAAATGTATAAATGTATTTTGAATATCTTTTATTTTTTGGCAAGGTAACTAAAATAGACAGAAAATAATAATATGTAAAAGATAAAACAATTTGACGATAATAGTTTAGATTTTATTGGTAATATGAGATCAAGATTTTGTTTTCTTTTAAAATGTGGATCAAATCTGAGCTTGTCAGTCTACTTTATGGTCTGTGTAGCTGATATTCTATTCTGCTTCAGTCCTCAGAGAGTATATCCATTTTTTATGAGAATGCATTCTACATTTGATATTTTGAAAATATTCCGTTTAGTGAGAGAGTTATATTTTTGTAATGTTAATGTCAACCAAATAAAACAGTTTCTTTGGGCAAATGTATATACACACAAATGTCAAACAGATTATTTACAAAATATTTTACTATAGTACAAATATCTTTCTGTGCGGTACTTTCTGAAGCACTCCGTAATAAACAGATGAGGCCTTCCTGTGCATCCGATGCACACATGGCAGCAGCATTTGGCTATTTGGGCAATAGGCAAATGAGCGTTTCGGGGTTCTGGGCCTTAGAAACTATTCTTCCTGCATCTTTTCTGCATAATTTCCAACTTCTCTTTGTAGGAACAGGAGCAGTATTATCTGAATCCTCACTGTAACCACTATTACTATCACCTCCTCTATTTCTATTTACCGACCCATCAGAAAGCTGAAAATCATCACTTGAATAAGATTCAAATGATTCATGGCTATTTTCGGATGTTTCAGCATCAATAATTTTCAATAAAAGCTGTTGCGTTTGCAAACTTGACTACCAACGTGGTCTAGCAACACCTGATGTGCTTGGAGTAGATGTGGCCATTGGCTTTGTTTACAACAGTTTCAACACAGATAGAAAAAAAAGTTGCAATTATTGGACAAAAATGTAAACAAACCCTACCTCTAACAGGAAGAGTTATTGTTCATTTAGTATAAAATGTAGGATTGATAGCTGTAGGCAACTAAATAAACTACAGAAATAATTTTGACGATGTATTGTCAACTGGCACAAATGCGGTCAATCAAATCGATGATCTATCGTCGATTGGTTTAGAAAAAGTTAATCTTCATCTGCTATTTTCTTACTACAGAAAAAACTTTCCAAAAGTTAGTTGTAAAACTAGGTGGTTTTGATGGAACAGCGTTCTCAATATTTTTAGTGCTGTGACCCCCTTGTTAACATTTGGAAAGTTCCTACAAATGGAGAAAAGGGTAATGAGAAGTTAAGGGGGCGGATATTGACTGTATTTAATTTATTTAATTAACTAATAGAATTTTATAATATTCTTATGCTATTTTTACTTTCATAATGAATGTATAATCATTTCACACCAAAGCAATTTGGAATTTTCAATAATATGTTGTTGCTAATCATTTTTAAAAGAGTGAAATGTTTACATTAAAATATTTACTACGGGTTAGAAAATATCAGAGGACGCAACCTACTTTCAAGTTTAGGCAGAAAAAATAAAAAGCAATAACATAGTAAATTAAATCAAAATTATATAAAATTTAAATTTTGAAAAATGAAAATTTGTACTGTTGTCATAATTATAACTAGAATATTGAAAAAAATGTGGGAACACCAGAAGTGCTATACAGGTAGTTTAAATTATTTTTATAAAATTATATAACGTGCTGTCAGGGTTTATTTATTAATTTGTATACGTATAGTAACATCTTTTTTAATATAAAACAATTATTCTCGCTTGTAACAGGAAACATTTGAGCTTCTTCCTAAACAGAAGCGGCTTTCCAGAAACAGCTTTATTAGACCAAAGAAAATCAAGATTAAAAAAGAAGAAGACATTCTGAAAAGCCCAATTCCAACAAAGAAAATAATTCACAAAAGCCTCATCAAGAAGTCAGCAAAAATTGTGAAGATGAAAAAAATGAACAGCTGCAATATTGAATCAAATAGTCCTAAAAAATTTAGAACTCGTCCACGATCCCTGCAAGACTTTGTTGAAAATCTAAGAGAAAGTTGTGGTATGTTTAGAATGTTAAGTATAATATAATGTTTTGTAGATGTACCTAGCTTTACTTGTATAATTATTTTTCATTGTCAAAGCTGAGATAATGTCACTGGCCATTGTCACATATTTAGTTTGTTAAAATCTAAACATTGAATTGATCTATGGGCAATTATTTTTTTTTTAAAGTCATACAATGAGATTGCTAATAGCTAGTTGGTGATGAAAGTATTAAAAAGGTCAGATTTTAAATCCCAAGCAATGGAACTAAAATAAAAATATGCAAATCTATCGATTCAGATTGTTGAATTCTCTAAAGCTGTCCTTTTTAATAAGAAGTTTCCAGAGAACTTTGATGAAACAAACCCAAATATTGTGGACACCTTAACTCTTCTAAATGCTGCTATCATGTTAAACAGATTTCAGTCCTTGAAAAATGGGAGGAATTCTCTAATTAGTATAATTTCTGCTGTTCTCCAGGGTACTAATTCATCCTGCTTCTTTTATTTCTCATAATCTATTTTTTATTTGGACACCTTTAATAGCCAAAGCTATACCCAAAGCTATACCTACTTTATTTCTCTCTATTTCAGATGTCACTATAGAAGTCATTGAAGGCGAGAAAGGCAGCATGAAAGGTATTTTCTGGCAGGATTCTGTCATGAAAAGTAGATTTGACAGTTTTCCCGAACTGTTGATCGTTGGTTGTGCAAATGACATAAACAAATTAAAAACATCTGTCATTTTCCAAGTCATCGTGGACGGCAACGGTGAAAGTGAGATAGCTTCATTGTTCTTGGTATCCTCAGAGGACCCGGACACATTCACATCTCTGGTCAACATCTTCAGGAACCACAACACGGCGTGGCTGAGAACAAGAACCATCTTAACTGGCAAAGACTTGAAGCACAGGTGTGTGTTCAGGTCATGTTTCCCAGATGCCGGCCTGCACATTTGTAAGATGCAAGTAATGGAAGAAATGAAGAGAGACCTTGCTACTGATCAGATGAATATCTCTTCCCTTGAAAAAGTGGGAGTTCTGTCTCTGTTAGAAAAAATGTCCAGTGCTCAGTGTACAGACAGTTATGATGATCTTTATGATGAACTGCAGAACACTGGGCTTTCCAAAGTCATGAATTACTTCAATAAAAAATGGCACCCAGTCCGTGAGGAGTGGGTGAGTGGCTTGAAAACATCCGTCCATTTTGACAATGAAACCACTAAAAGGATGGACATAATTTTTGACAGGATAAGAGACATGGTAAAAAAATCATCACCCTTACCACATTTTTGTCAAGATCTGCAGAGGATTATTTATACGTTGCGAGAAGAAGCAGACACCCGCATCGGCCTCGACGTTATCAACAATTCCAGAAGTGGCTATGACTTTAATTCAGTTGAGTATCGATTTTCTAATTTTTTAACACCTTTTGCTTCCGCAAAAGTTTTACGGCAAATTCACTTGAGTGCTGCTATTAAACTCGATGCTGAAATCTGCGATGTTACAAGTCCCGTCAGTGTTTCTGCTGTTGACCAAGTCATGGTCTCGGCAACATCCTGCTCTTGTCAGTACTTCACAACCTCCTGGCTCCCTTGTCGTCACATTTTTGCTTTCAGACAAAAAGCGGGTGTGGGGTTGTTTTTTGAAGACATAGCCCCACGCTGGCAACTTTCCACACTCAAGTCCATATTACCACCATCAAAACTGTCACCGCACATGAACTCTGCAAGAGCTGACAAGTCTCTTCGGTCCTTGACGTTTGTTAATCAAAATGATTCAATAAATCCTCACTTTCAATACCGCAAACCTCAGGCCTCATGGCCTTCTTACTCTCAGGGCGCCCAAATGAATGGTCAGCATTCAGACATGTCCCAGGCTCAGAAATTCGAATCATTGTTAGTGTATGGTCAAAGACTTGCTCAGCTAGGAAGTGATGTTCCAATGGGAAAATTTGTTAAAAGGAGGGAAGTTTTGTCGAGGCTGGTGGAGTCATGGGAAAGAGGAGAAGACTTTGAGGATGACACTTCCACAGCCAACAGTTTTGTAAGTTCGCCAATGTATAAATTGTTCACCTGTGTCTGTGAGTCAAGTTTGTGTGAATGAATGGTGCACATGTGAGTCAAGTTTGTGTGCATCAATGGTGCACCTGTGAATCAAGTTTTTGTCACTGGTGCACCTGTGAGTCAATATGCATATTTTATCACTTAAGCCAAGACCAATATTAATAATTTGATTGATGATAATAACATTGTTACCTGAAGGGAAGAGATACTTTTATTTGCAATATTTAAATTTACACCAATGCCATCATTCTGATCAAAGTATTCTTATATTATTACCATCTTTGCATTTTTGCTTTGTCCTCCCTTGGTTTTATACCCCCTATATCAAGCATATTTATCTATATTTATAGGAGCATATTTATCTATATTTGTAGGTATAAATGTATTGTTTTACAATTCAAGTTGTCTAGTTCATTTCAGTATCACTCCAGTCCACTTTAAAATTTCTGTAATTTCTATGTTTGTTGCTTTTAATGAACAAAAGGGACATGCTTAATTTATTCACGAACAATTCCTAACCATTGGGGAAGTTCATATGCCTACAGATATATATGATCAGAAAGCCCAGTCAATCCCTATACTGGGAGGTGCATGTGTATCTAAAGGTTTTTCAGGCACACCATGTAGTGTGTTGTAAGTTATGGACTTGCATTCTTAGAGAGCCATGATAATTATCCAGTTAAGTTGCAGCCAGGGTGATGTAGTGAAGCAAAAACTTCATACATTAAAATTCTTGTCTCAGAATCTGACACATAATATCACAGTTGCTTTATTGCTAAGGAAAAGAGATGATTGTGCATGACATTCTTCAATAATATTTTGTATTTTGAAGAAACTGGGAATACATATAGCTTGTCAAAAATTCAATTATCCACAGAGGGTTCAGGAATAGATCAGATAACTCATAATGTTTATTATATTTGTAATACCCTGTAGCTATCTTCTAATGTACATTTGGATGAGATCAACTCCCACAGTGCAATAGCACCAAGTGTTTCTACACAGTCATTTCAAGGGCATGGTACAAACTCTGTGAATGAAAACCACATGGGTCTATTTCTTACAAAGGAGAGGTCATTCCAAGTAAGATTGATTTTTTTAAAAGTTGCAACCAAAAAAAATATTAAACTTTATAACAACTTATTTTGTGTAGTGACATATTAAATAGAATTCTTTAATAACAGGATTGCGAAAACAAAAAAAATTTGGGAAATGAAGTGTTATGATAGATCAGTGACGTTTGAGTTTAAAAATATTCCCACTTTTAAAAAAAAAAAAAAAATTAAATATATTCTTTTTGAGTGATAGTAATAGTAATTTATTTATATGGCATTTTGGCCCTATGGTGCCTGAACATTTTTTCAAACACAAAATAGAATTTTCTCCTAACTACTGCATTATTGCATTACCATGTGACAAGTAAATATTTAATATTTTACATATTTATAAAAACACCTGTGTATATTTATGGTCACCTAATTGAAAACTCAATTTTGCAAAGAAACATTTTTTTCCACCGGGTACGAGTATTTTTATTAATTTACAGGTGCCATACCACCAGCAACAAGAACATGCCAACGTCAACATGGGTATGATGGATCACATCCCACCCTGGTCACACATTGTCTTGTAGAGATGTCATTTTGAAGATTGAGAATCACAGCCATCCCTAGTCACAGATCATTTTTACAAAGAACTGCTTATCAAATTGCATTTTTTTACTTGTCAAAAATGATATTACAACTTTATTTAGTTACGTACAGTATTATAATAAACTATTGTATTACAATTATATTAAACAGCTCTCCACTTTTAGTGGCGATCTAGAGAGATTGTTTTTTTAACAAATCCCCATGGCACAAAAAAGCATACCACATTTTTCAACTGTTTCATTTTGAATGCTTAAGTAAACCCACAAACTGTGGTTGGCCAAAAAAATCGTTTACTTGTCAATAATAACTTTTTTGCCTGAGATTTTCTATGTTGTACTTGGTTTTAGCTGTGGTCTCAGTTTATTTTTTTCAGTAATAAATGACCTAAAATTGCTTTCAGGGGCTTATTTGTAATATAAACCTTAGCAAACTATACATTTTCTAAGAGATAAATGAGTTGGCTACTTTATTAAAATATAAAAATTAATGATATGAGCACTTGAAGACATTTTGTCAATTTTTTTTCTTGAGCACTCCAAGGTCAAGGTCACTGGGAACAAAATTTCGGCTTTGGGCAATATAAATAACTTTACCTTTCTAAAAATATATCTATGGGGTTTTGTATCAATATTTCTATGTCATTTAAGGCTATTTCAAAAGGCACTCAAAAAGCTTTCAAAAGCTCCCACTACAGCATGATTCTATACCACAGTTCGTGGGTTAATGTTTAGAAATAAATTATGGAACCGTGAATCATTGACCATTTAATTTTGGATGATACAGTTCATGTTTCTCAGGCAAAATTCATTTACCATAGTTTGTTTTGTTTTTATCGTGTCCATGTTTACTAAGTCAATTTTTTAAATGGCAAAACTGATACAAATAGGTTACAATTACTTTTCAAAGTATTTTAAAAACAAAGTTTTCTATTCCTAGTCTTGGATAAATTATATCAAGACTGTAAATGAATTTTTAAATGTACCGTATCAATTTTTTCACACTGCTGTTATAAAGAAATTATGACTAATTGATGTACAGATTAAATAATAGTGACTTAGTGGACGTACAGATGAAACTGTTTGACCAATTGGATGTTGAGATGAAATTGTTTGACTAATTGGATGTATAGATGAAATTGTTGTGACTAATTGGATCTATAGATGAAACTGTTGTGACTAATTGGATGTTTAGATGAAATTGTTGTGACTATATGGATTTATAGATGAAATTGTTGTGACTTTATGGATTTATCGATGAAATTGTTGTGACTAATTAGATTCCAAAGCTCAGTTGACAATTGCAAGCTATTTTCCCATCTGTTCTGATGCACCTGAATTAATTAAAGTTAAAGTTATTATTGAGAATGTTTAATGTTTCTTAGACCATGATGTTTTACTTTATGAAACTAATGAGTAATTTAATTAACATAAAACATTTTTAAAACATTGTAACAATTTTAATGTTGCTGAAGTTATTGAATGTTTTTTAATATATAAATGAACACAAGTCAAAAATAATATTTTATAATAAATAGAAATATAAGAATAAAACTATAATGGTTAAATCATTCAAGATATTTGATTATAATTTTGATGCACTTTAATAAATATAATTTTTTTGATAGTGACTCTTAAATTTTGAATACATTAAATTCATTAATAAAAGGCAATGTCTAAATAAAAACCAATGTTGTCAATTAGGATCTGATATTATTTCCTTTTTAAAAAAATCTCTCTAATTTATGACAAGATCACAACAATGAGCTCTGCAAAAAGATGTTACGTCATTTTATATTAGAGGAATAATTAAATTTGATGTTAAATTTAACTAATCAAGCACTTGGAGAAAAACATTAATATGGTACTTATTACTTAATAAAGTGAGGCCTCGAAATCTGAACGCCTTCAATTCGAACAACCTGGAATCCGAACAAAAGTATCTAGCAAATTTTCCATTCAAAATGAGTTTTTGGAATTCGAATGCCCGTAATGTGTTTTATGTGCGTACATTTCCCCAGTGCTCGGGCCACCCAGACGGGCCACCCAGATGCTTTGTCGTTCAATTCATTGTTGGAAGCTGCTGGGATAGCATCTGGTGGGATTTTCTCTGCTAATTGCAATGCTTTTGTGGCCGTTTTGTGTTCTATTTTAAAATATAATAATTAAAAAGTGTTTACATTGGTCCTAATACTAATAAAGATGTAGTGAGGATAATAAGAGTAAGATGACAGCTATTGGAGGACATCTGTAAGAGGACAACTGTGAGAGGACAGCTGTGAGAGCTGCTATTGAAGTTGAGAAAGATCTTATCGCTAAGCATGAATTGAAATCGGTACACGAACGGCTCATCTCGCTACTAATTTCGGGATGACGTCTTCGTCTGGAAACTATTTTAGAAAAATAAATAAGCTATCAAAGCAGCTGATGAGTACTCCTCAGCTCATTCTTTCCCCAAATGGCTTCGCCACTGATCAATGATCCTTTTACATACAACAGACACAAATATTTGCCACTCCTGAACAATGGGCGATTTAAATAATAATTGTTTTATATAGTGTTGCATATTTTCCCCGGATATAGACTTCATTTGTTCAAGCCCCCCCCCCCCCCCCCCCATAGCATTATCTACCAGGTTTGGGTCTTGGCTGTTTGGGGCCACAGGTCTTGTTTGATGAAGGTTACATTCTCCCGATGAAAAAAGTTTATCGTGTTTCTTGCCGTGTTTCAAGGAGCAGTTGCAGTGTCTAGTTCTGACAATTACACACTACTCGACAACTCAGGTCCTTGTCCTAGTTTGTGTTCACAATAATAATCACTTTTCAATTGCGCTCTCTGCTCAACCAACACTACACTATTTTTTTTTCCCCCATCAGAGAAACAGACCGAAACCATGATGCCTTGGCTGTTCACGGTTGTTTATATGAGTTTTGTTGCTTTCTTTCATGCTTCAGAAAACACGAGCATTTGCGGGAAACACTGGGCTGGTCACCATTGCAGGAACGACGACGACTATCCGAGCTCTCCATGATGAACAAGATAAATAATGGGCTGGTCCACTGCTCCGGCAGTAAAATTAAATTGAAACTCGTCCCTCTCCCCCCCCCCCCCCCCCCCCCCCCCCCCCCCCCCCCCCCCCCCCCCCCCCCCCCCCCTAAAGGCAAGAACACAGTAAAAGAACTGCTCATTCCTGCCAAAGACAATCAGGGACTGGAATAAGCTCACAAAAGGAATAGTTGAGGCGACAACACTTGACACATTTGCGTCTATTGCCAAAGGCCTTCCAACCCACAGTACTGATACCCTCGCTGAGTAGCCCTTGCAACCAGTGAAATATCCTCAATACCAGACATAGAAACATTGCAAAACCTCTCTACATACATAGGAACCAGAACGATCAATACATTGATCGTGTGCCCTTAATATATAGAACAGGGGTCGGGAACCTATGGCTCGCGAGCCAGGTGTGGCTCTGTTGATGGCTGCATCTGGCTCGCAGACAATTAATGTTTGATTATTAAAACAAAAAGACGCATTAATGATAAGAAATACTCATTATTGATTAGCAACAGCATAACAGTGTTATTAAAAAGAATTCAGAGACATAATTATTGCATTTTTAGCACACATTTACTTGAATTTTTAATTTTAAACATAATGTATGGCTCTCATATACTTACTTTTTCAAAATATGTGGTGTCCATGGCCATGGCTCTCTCAGACAAAAAGGTTCCCGACCCCTGATATAGAAGAAGAAAGAATAACAGGTGTGGCGAGAATAAGCGTGTTTTGTCTACAAACACTATACTTCGTACATTTCTCTAGTTTAAAAAAAAAACAAAAAACAAAAAAAAAACCACTATCAAATAACCGTTGAATTCGTTGCTGTTGTTTTAATTGACATTTTTCGTTATAACCTGCCCTACTACGTGGTTGTACATTTAAAGTTGCAGAGCTTGCTGTAAAATGTGCTGCCAGTCTCTCCGTCCATTTCCCATGGAATCGTGTGAATCTGAAGATTATCATCCTGGCTGAAAGCAAATGACTTGACTAACTAACAAGATAAATATTCTATAGGCCTACCAGTGGTCGGAAAATCGTGGCTCGCGAGCCGCATGTGGCTCTTTAACGACCTGAGTGCGGCTCAGCAGCCAGTCGGTCAAAAATCGATTTTAATTCCGAAAAAACATGGTTCTTGAAAAGAAATGTATCTCCCACATTGAATTTAATCGTCCTGCAGCTGACTTTTGGCTCTTTTGACTAATGAGTTTGCCGACCACTGTTCTATACTGTTATAATAGACTTGAGGCGGCTGCTTCCTGGGTTGCGTGCTATCGTGACAAGGGCTTATTTTTTTCTTTCTTTCCACCAAGTCCTAGTCGATTAAGACTTGTACTCCAGGATTTATTTGAAAACGTAGTAGTCATTTGCCCAGCTCCCCGTAGTTTTTCAATTCGTGCATCATTAGCTCAGAATAAGATCTTCTGGTGTTTTTTTTTCTTCATTGTTTAATAACAGTAAACGCTGAAAAAAATAATTAAAATATAAAGATGGCGAAGAAAATATTACAAAGTAGGGACGCAATACGCTGAGTTATTAAGTATGATAGTTTAAAAACCGCCCAGCAACTAAATGTTATGTATATTGCACAAGATTTCACAAGGCTGTCCCACTTTTTTGCGCCATCCTGTTGCGTGCGTGTGTGTATATATTAAATACACACACATACAGTAGCGTAACTAGGGGTTGCGGACCGCACGGGGTGACACATCTAAGGGGTCATCCATAAATGACGTCACGTGTCTAGAGGGGGAGGGGGACATATTTTGACGAGGGGTAGGGAGCCTCAAGCCATGTGACGTCACATGAAAAGCAGAATGTTGTAGCAAAGAATTTCACTTAATAACACTAAATTACAGATATTTATAACATTCTTAAAAAAAAAAAAAGAAACTAATTATAATTATTTTATTTTAAAACTACTATCACTGAGAAAATCAGTACAGAAGGTATGTGAGGTCCGAAAAATGGCCTCTGCTCAAGTTACAGGACGCCCAGGAATGTAGTTACAATGACAGTCGTGAGAATTTATGGCTAAATCTGGACACCGGAAGTGGGATGGAGCGGGGAAAAATAGGTTGACCGCTGGGTGGGGGTATCTTAGTAAATGCTCTAGGCCTTGGATTCTTAAACTTTTGTGCAGCGCCGCAGGGCCACTCCATTTTAAACATCCTTGCCCCAACCGTATAAACTAGGCCTACTACATTATAATAAAATTGTAATTAATTTAGTCATCGTAGTTTCATTTCTTCAATTAACTTTTTATAAACAAGGGAAAAAATTACCAATCCACGCAATGCGCCAATGAAATTCACCATTGACTGCTGCTAATCAAAATCCATAAAAACTGTTGTTTTTTTTTTTAAAGCAGCAACAACTTGCAATTGCAGCAAAAAGAATCAGTGGCGTAGCTAGGGTTGGTGTAAACCGGTCCGGTAAGCTCGTGGTGTCACCCCCTACCATTTTTTACGATGTATTTCTTCTTGTTAAACATAGTCCACAGTATAAGAAATACAAGAACCAAAAAAAAAAAAAAAAAAAAGAAAAAAAAAAAAAAAAAAATGATTGAAGGTCAGGGGGTAAATGTATTTAAGAACTGCAACGTTCTTAAAATCACCCATTGTTATCAGATGATAGTTTTATTTTTCAGAATTTAGATAAAAATAACTTCCTGCTACTTACATAAGTTACCGAACACTTCATTCGGCGCTGAAACATGGTCAAAGCGGTGTGTTTCAAACCATTTAATAAGGTAGCCTAATTGCTGATGCATCAACCTTGAAATTTTAATATTAACGAAACACGCATTTTGATTGGTTACATGGGTGGAAAATGTCACGTGTCATCTGTTATCCTTTTATGAATTTCGATTAGACCGATCAGTGTGTGCTCTGTAATTACGCTATCTTTCAATTTGGTGTCACCCCCTGAAATGGTGTCAGCCGGTGCGGTCCGTACCCCTTAGCTACCTCACTGAATACAATTTTTTGGTCTTCCACACCTCAAGGCTGGGGAGGTACTTGTACCCCTGGTTAAGAACCACTGATCTAGTTAAATGTTTCTGACACGGCACGGGTGCAGCAATTTGATATCCATCGGGAGGCGAATTTCTTAAGGGTTTGTAAAGGACAGTAGTGGACACAGGGACTTTTTATGGGGGTGGGGTGTCTTTTAGATATATATTTCAGCTATATACAAAAATGCCCTTTGCTGGACCGCCTCCAACCTATCGATGCTCTTCTGGGTGAATGGCTCCCAAACTCAAGATACGTAATCTAAAAACGGCCAGATAAAGGCTTTATAGTCTTTTTCTTTCAGGCTGGAGTTGCCGATCCTTAGATTTCACCTCAGGAACCCTATGGTCTTGTTTTCCCGGTTGCATACACTGAGGGTGAATTCGCTGAATTTGAGGGCTACGACAAAGTTTGGTGAAAGAGGCTATGGCTATATAATATCCTACACACTACAGCAGCTCGTTGTCACTGCGAACTTGCACGACTGGATTTTGTTGTCTCCATTTATATTGAATCGGACGATCGCAACAAGAATAGGGGACCTATTATCAAACTTGAATGTACTCGAGAGCAAACTCCCTCAAGATAGAGTATTTAATATGTAGTCTATGTAGTCCTACAGAACATACAAAATACAAGGAGAAACAGGACTGACAGGACGATGGATTGGAAAGGTACACCCCAGAAGCCTGTTTTAATCGACTGGTTTACGGCGAGGCCCACCTAAGGAGGCTCGCCTTTGATATGCTATCCAGGATCATTAGAGTTTAGGTCCGACTCTACAAGAGAATGTATCATAGTATCCCACGATATTTTAGTTGTTTCTGATACTATTTATTTTTATTACCAGGAACGAAAGAATTTAAGACAGGCCAGGATAAAATAATGCCGTAAAATTAAAGTTCGGCCCTTACAATAAAAAAAAAAATATAATCAAATAATAAATTATTATAATTTTAATCGAATTAAATAAGTAGGTAAGCCCATAAAAGTATTATTCGATAGCAAAGAAGTAGGTTTAAAAAAAGAGCCTTTTGTACTTTTTTTTTTATTTGTATATGTCGCAAAATTAATACCTATTTCAGGAAATACCATTGTTGAAAGATGGCGGCGTTGGAGATCGTAAACACAGTCTTTTGAAAGAAAAATAAAGACACATTCTGTTGGCGATTACAGTGAAGATTTATTTATTTAATATGCCATCAGAAAATGTAAATATGATCTTCTAATTTGTTTAAATTCTGAAGTATTTTTATTTGTATAATTTGCTACACTCCTGTCCGAATCTAAGTCTAAGTTAGTAAGTTAGTCTAAGTAGTCCTACTACTTACTACTAAGTTAACTTCTAAGCTAGGTAACGATTAATTCGATAAAAAAAATTCGATAAAAAAAATGAAATCCCCAAAAACTATAAAAATGTTACATTTGTATAGAATATAAAGAAATTTCGGTAGCCCAAACTTCAGATTTAAAAAAATTAAACAAGAATCAACTTTCCAGCTTTAGAACTTTTACTTTTTGAAATTTGAGCCATTTGAGCTGTGAATTTTTAAAGTGCAAGTTCATGTGTCATTTGTAATTTTTTACTTAGGCTGCATCTCCACAATTTGCGACCCTACATTTCTGATTGCGTTATGGGCAATAACTCTTGTTTAAATTATAATTTTATACAACTTATTTTCTTTTTTTTTTTAAATTTCTAATTTTAAAATCCAAGTGAAGTTGGGTATAGCGACCTACATTATATATACCACTCTAACGTAGAACCATGGTGTCTCTCATAAAACACTTGGTGCTATGAAAATTGGCACACTTGTAGATCACTATATATCCAAAAGAAATAATAAATATGAAAAGGGCATATATTTAAATTCAACTTAATTAATCTTAATGATGAAAGTTATCTTACATTACCAAGGATTTTCTCAACGCTGACTGATTGTAAATGAAAAAGAAATTAATTGAAATGTAGGCCAAGATGTCCCCAAAAGTCAAAGGATGGAAAAGGAATACAATTGTGGGATATAAAAATTCTTTTATGAATGATATAGCACTAACTTCAAGAAATTAAAAACTTTGACTCCTGCGCCAAAGTCCATTTATTATAAAAATTGTGTAGTAGTCTCCTTCCTTTACTGAAGTGCCTACGTAAGCTGAATGAAATGAAAGATGCCAAATTTGGGTCTAACTAATGCCTAGGCCTATTACTAATAGTAATGTTTTAACTTTATTTTCAACTAACTGGGAATTGCTCTAACTTGCCTAAGTAAGGCTAAGGAAATAAAAAACACAGGCTATTCCTGAGAACAGTGCCCATGGCAGCGTTTCCGTGTTTACTCAAAAATGTGCAGGATTCTTTCCCCTTTGTTTTTTTAATTGTTTATTTTCATTGGATGAAGTGTCAGCTTGCCCATGACGTCATTATAAGTCATTTGCGTGTTTATTAAATATTTGTGCGGCGGCGAAAGAATATGTTAATAACCGGTTGGAACAAGATTTCATGTGAATTAATAACGAAGTTTATAAGAAAAGTTCAATTTTATGTTTTTAAAAGTTAAATTTTATGTTTTTAATTTCTTACTAAAGGGGACGGTTGGGGAGAATGCATTTTATCAACTACTTATTTGATTGTCGGAGGAAGTGCTGATGACGTGTTTTGTATTAAAATTTTAATTAGTTGATTATTTATAATTTTAAATTATCATTGGTTGGCTAATTATCATTTTTTATTTGCGCCACCATCTTTTCAACATGTTGGCCTAATGCCGGCAGTTGTGCTCCAATCATTTGTGCATATTTTTTTTATTTGGAACCTGCAATAAAGTGTGTAAAAGTGTATTTCATGAAACTGTAAGTTGGGTTTTCATCCCTAACTCTAACCCCAAATTTATCTTTAAAAAAAACAAATTGTAGATGACAAAAATAACGAATTTCGAACATACCGCCGGACACCCAGAGAGCACATCAAAGAAGACGACAAGTGACGTAACGTTAAAGCACTCCTTTCTATATGCGTATAATTTTAAAGTACCCTACAAGAAAATTAATTTCTCTATTTTCATTAATATTTCGAACATTCTAAAATTCCCACACTCGTGTCTTAGCACTACTTTTTTTTTTTTTCTTGGTTGACATGGTACGTGACTTTCTCACGGATCATGTCAACAATGATGGCGGCCATGATGGGAAACCCCGGGCATCGTCCTCAAAATTTACCAAAACACAATTGAATGAATATCACTAAGACCTTAAGAGAGAAGATAACATCAATGAAAATTAATAATGACCATACTTTTAGAATTTAGCCAATTTCTAAATATCATCAAAATTGTTAGTCAAAACTTGTCTTTTTGTCCCCCATAGGATAACAATGATCAAATTTGATTTGATTATATAGTCACACCGAATATTATTATTCAAGGGGGACGTTTTGGTAGGCTACAATGTTAAATTATCATTTTGGTGAATTTAATTATTTTAACATTTTGAAATCTAATTATTAGCAAAATATTGAACAAAATTTCTTGGGGGGTCATCCATAAATGATGACACCCTTTTTGGGGCAAAAATCCCTCCAACCCCAAAATCATCAAAAATCGTCATAGAAAAAAATAAGTATTCATCCACCTTTGGTATTGAAATAATTGAATATTTGTTGAAATAAAATCAATTCATTATCAGAATGTTCCACAAGGTATTATGACAATTACATTCCACAGCCATTCTCAAACAAAAGTTACAATCACAAGCAAAATAATCCCAAATAATTATACAACATTATCAACATTTTACAGAAGTGTTCTCAGAAGAATAATTCAGTTTTAGCATTTCCTTCAAACAAATATTTAAGACTAAACTGACTCTAAAGTTAAATGTAATTGTCTGCCTCTAGGCAGACCTCACAAAATATCAAATAATACTTGAAATTAGTAATTAAAAAAGTATTTTAAAATGCTGGAGATTGTCATAGACTTTTTAAGAGAAAAAGTCTTAAAATTATGTTTACTCCTGTCACACTGCATATGAAAGTCACTGTTAACAATAAAATTATATTGCGTTCTTATTTAGTATAAGATGCAGAGCAGCACTACATCAAATTTGAGCTTTGAATCTTGAAAATTAATGATTACAAATTTGCTTAAACAATATTTTACCACCTTTAGTTGTTCAACATCAACTTTCAACATGGTTGAGGGAAGAATTAAGCCTAAGTAATCATAATTAGCCAGTGCTGAAGAGTTAAGAGCCAAGATCGAAGAATAGAGGCAAATAAAAACTGTTTCTAAAGTTTGATAGGTTCAAATAAATTTATAATTTGTTAAAATAATTATTTTCTATTTTGGGTTATAATTTAAAAGAAAAGAGCATACAGCATACATTTTATTTTTGTCTGGATCTTGATGAACATATTCACTCATATAATTTTCAGAGGAGGCCAAAAGACGATACCTGGACATCAGCAGAGCTGAATAAAGCATTGAAAGTAAATTATATTTAAGACAACTCTTTTTTTTTCCTTAAAAATGACATTTCATGTATTTATTAAATATATTAAAAATGATATGATGGCAATAACAACAAATGAAAATAATTTAAAAGGACTAAAGCAACCTTGGTATACTTTGGGTTTTCCAGGGCTCAATCAGTTGCTAAATGTGCATGTTTGATTACTGGTTTATTTTAATTAAACCTAATATACAATTCAGGCTCTGACCACTTCCAGTTTCCAACACCATTTGATGAACCACACAATCTCCAAAATCATCAAAATTAAATCTTTACACTTTAATCCAAATCTTTGTGCCTATATAGGGTTAGGATTAGTATTAAAGTTAAACTCTCCTTGCATATGACCAGTGTCCATCACAAATTCTTTGAAACCATGAAGAAGTTATGTTTAGTATATGGTTTAAATATTTGTTATTCATTTAGTACATTGAAAGACTCCTTGATTTTAAATAGAAATTATTGTCTGCAGGGATCACAAGATGACATGCATCGAACTAAAAGGAGAAAGGATGATGATGGTGAGTTTAAGAGTTATATCTTTGATAAAGAAGGTGATATGTATCAAAGTAAATTTTATTTAAAAAAAAGACTTTTTAGAGAAATTTTATTCCCTAATATCTATGGCTGTACAATTTCAGCTGATCGAAGACATCACCGCGATGAGGTGAATGGTGCTGAGCATAGGAAGGAAGAGGACAGAAGGTCTCATAGAAAAGATGAGGTTTGTAAACATGATAAAATCAATTTCTACTGCTATTATCAATCTGAACACTTTCCCAACATTTTAAATACATTTAAAAATTATTTTAAACTTTTAATGTTAGAAATAAAAGTCATAAGGGCAAGTAAATTGATCTTAAGAGGTTTACATTGATCAGGATATTTATCGCCTCATGCGCACTTGTTTAAAATTATTAATGATATTGCTTTAGGATATTCAAAAGAATAGGCGACATAGAGACAGGGGTGACTCCACTGAAAAGGTTGACCTCACAGAGGTAAGAGCACTAAACATTTAAATAGATATAGAATCTAACGATGCAGAGGAAAAAAATACAATAGACTTGGTATACTGTGATGCCTTTTTGTGTAAATATAAAAAAATGTACCGCATTAAAAATTAGTATGAATGTCTTTTTTTCTTTTTAAATAAAAATTAATCAATAACAAATTGAAGAATTAAAAGTAGTTAGATACCAAATCAGCAAAGGCTTTTTAAATCCATAATTGTAAAAGGGATTGTTGACAGTGGTGTTATTAGCACTATATCAGTTTTGGCTATGAGGAGTAAAACTATATTCCTTCGAGTTCAGATCAAGATAAATCTAAATTAATTAAATTCTTAAAGCTTAAATTTAAAATTTGCCACTTTTATCCTTTTTTTATGTTTGCTATGCTAAAGAACTATATGATGAAAATCCATTTATTACAATAATATAAAACACTCTTAACTGATAGAGTAAAACAATTAAAAGACATCTGTAGTAACAATCTGTTATCATTCAGGCCACCAGTGCTGCTGTATGTATAAAATTTCTTTGACAATTTATAAATATTCAAAATTATGTCCACTTCGGTTGTGCAGTTTACACTATTTTATGTTTTGCAATGATTTCAATTATTTTTAAAATTCATTTTTCTTAAAAGAGAGAATTAATATATGTTATATCATCCCTATGTAAATAATAATTACTAAGCTTTAATTCACCAGAATTATAAGTTACAAAAAAGTATTATTCACTAGATTGTTCTTTGTTTTGATTTAAGTTGTAGCTAACTTCAAATTAAGTCAATAAATAATTTTTTTAAAAATTGCACGTAGATGTTTTATTGAGTGCTTTACTTCACTGGAGATCTTGTCATATTTTTTGTTCCTTAATGGAAGTTTTTTTTTCTTAAAATTTTAAATTAAAAATATACTGTATATTGATTGATTCAATACCTCAAAAAACTTTTGGAGGCTATAGCTTGAATAGGTTTGGAAAAAATGAATCGCAGTTGGCCGTTCATAATATTTTATTAAAACATTACTGTTTCATTTAATTAATTAATTGCTACTTAGGAGGAGAGAGAAAGGATGCGTCAAGAGAGGCGTGCTAAAAGAGAAGGGGGAAAAGAGGTAATTTTAAAAAAATTCACATAATATTGTTTTATTTTTAAAAATAATACTGAAAGAATGGTGTATAATAAATGAGCATATTTTAAAAAATCTAGTTTTGTCCCTTCATCTTACACATGTTAATTTTAGGAAAAAAAGTCCAGGCCCAAAGAAAGTAAAACTTCTAAAATAGTTGAGGATGACCAGGATGACAGGCGGCGACGCCGACATGAGAAAGATGAACCAGGTCAAGGTGACAGGAAAAGCAATAACGAAGAGGAATCTACAAAACATAAGGAGGACAGACAAAGGGAAAGGTAGTGAATAATACATTTTTTGTCAAAGAAATATATATCTATCACAATTTTGGCAATTGTGGTATATCATAACCATTGTGGAATTTTAGAGATCTGTTTTTTCCTTTAAATTATCTAGTGAAATCAAATTGATTTCAATGTCAAGTGACTTTTATTTTAATTGTAAAGTTTTAAAATTTTACAGCCAGCAAGTTTTGTATAAGTTTGAAAGAGGAAAGTTCATTATTTTATATTTCACAGACGACAATATGAAAAAGAACGTGAAAAACATCGAGAGGAAGGAGACAGGGAACACAAGAGACACCGGGATGAAGATGACCGGAAGCGGCGCCCTAAGGAAGAGGGTTCATCTCGACATCACAAAGAAGAAGGTTCATCTCGTCGTCGCACTGATAGTAGTGATCGACCTAGAAAAACTGATGACTCTGAGCGGGGCAGTGACAGACACAGAAAAGTAGGTGAATCTGAACATCAAAAAAAGCGAGCTGACGGTGACGAAGAGGTAAGTGAATAAATGACAGATGAGATTTTTTAATTTTAATTAATTGCAAAGACAAATGCACTAATTCAAATGCACTAATTTTAGCTTATTCTGATTGTATTAGAAAACAAATCACATCAAATATGGAAAAGTTTATTTAAACCAATAATAAAAACCAAATAGTTAGACAAAATATTTTGTTAGCGAATAAAAAATGTCTGAGGAAAACTTTTCTACAGTTTATTCAATAGCCTTTTAGTTTCACTCTGTCTTGTTATTCTTTCTATTTCTCTATGTTAACTGAAATTTACTGTTATAGTTTCTTCCCATCAACTATTGCTAAAATATATATTTGAAAGGCTGAACGAGAAAAAAGAAGACAAGAGAGGAGAGAAAGACAAGAGAAAGAAAGACAGAAGGATAAAAGCAGAGAGAGAGATCATCACAAAGAGAAAAGTAACAGAGATAGTGATAGAATCAAGGAAAAAGAATCTGGAAGCCATAGAAAATCTGAGGTTAAAAAAAATAAATTATGCTTAAGCATTTTGTGTATAAACTAAGCATTAAATTCAGAAGCAATTTTTTTATTTATTTTAATGAAATTTTTTAATGAATCAATTCTAAAGATGTGGCCAATCCTTATGATTTAAAAGTATTTGATGAGAGTTTCTTAAAAATAAATGAAATTGGCTAACTTACAATTTTTCCTAAAAAGATAGTTCTTGGAATCTCTTATTTCATTCCAGCAGAAATTATCTTTAAAAGATAGAGAAGATAAGGAGGAACAAAGAAGGTCTGAAAAACATCGCAGCAGTAAGGAAAAAGAAAAAGTTTTAGAAATCAAATCGGGTTCAGAAAAACAAAGTTCAAGACACAGGGAGGTGAGGCAGCCTTTGTCAGATATTTTATTTTAATGTGATCATTAATGCATGTGATTTATGCAAATCCAATGGATCAAATCCTTCCTATCATGTGGTCCTCTGGAATAATTATTTTTTCCTTTTATCACCTTGTTTCCCTATTACTTTGACTTGTTTTCAGACTTATCCTATCACAGCTATATAAATTTATAGAAACTGGAGTGTTAGCGCTTTGATAAAAAAAAACAATCTTTGTTTTCATGAATATAGTTAGTTTTTTCCTCTTTTAAAAAGTACCATTTAAAAATATATTATGCATATTATTTGCACAACATAAACTGTTTATATCTTTTTGCTTTCTCTTTCAAAGATAGACATATTTATTGCATTTGGCGTCTCATTTTACAAATTAGCTTATCTACTCAACTGGCTTTGTGAAATTAAGACTCTACATCCTTATGTGTCCTAGTTCTGGGATCCATGGGATGATTACTCCAGCATGTTGGAGGATTTTTATATCTATCTGCATACTGTATTTTTCAAATTGAGCGATTTTCCCATTTGTTTTATAGGATTAAATTTAATTATACCTTTAAGGATTGAAGCTGCCTTGGTTTGTATCTGTCAAAGTCTGGTGCAGTCAACCAAATTGCAATGCCATAATCTAAGGGTGTCATTACTCTTCCTTCTATTTGTATACCATGTTTAATTATTCTTTAAACTGCTTTTCATGTAGACCCTGTCTAAAATTTTGAAAGTTCATACATTGTTAATTAAAAAGTTGGAGTATGATAAAGCTTTAAAAAATGATAGAAAAGAATAAGAATGGGCACAAGTCCCTAACAAAGAACGGAAAGAATCTGGTGGAAGTACAATTTGGTTTTTAAATTTTACTTCCACCAACTTTCTTTCCATTCTTCTCAGCTTCATCTTCTTGAGGGACTTCTGCCCACTATTTATTTTGTCTTTCATTTTTAGGCATAGGTAGGATATATATTATATTATGTAAATTTAATTTATAGCCTACTTATATGAATGTTTTTTGTTGCACTGATGAAGAAATTGTATTTTGTGTAACCATAATTAAAACTTAACACATATTGTTTTATTTACAAAAATGGTTAGTGTCTCATTAATATATATTGTTAAGCTTTCTGTCAATGTTACAAAGTCAGAAACAATTCTAAAAAGAAATTTAGCTCAGCATTAGTTTCTCAAGTTTTCCTACCAATGAAAATTTTTGATTAAGTTTTTATCGTCAAGCTTCAAGTTTTTTTTTAAAATGTGGAATTTAATAACTATTTGAATTTTGCAATTTAGTATAAGTTGCAGTATAATTTTTTTAAAAACTTTTTTCTTTCCAGAGCATTGACTCAGAATCTATACCTTCATCAAATAGTCATCAGAAAACTAAAGAAAAGGAACAAAAAGAAGAGGATGAATACAATTATGATGAAGATTTTGAGGTACCTGTACTTCAGTTTTTAACCTGAAAATAAAATAGTCTAAGCCTTTACCAAGTGGAGATAACTCAACATTTAAATATTTTTAAAAAAAAAGTAGAGGTAATGTTTTGCTTAATTCTATTTGATAAATTAATGCTAACATCTAATTTTTTGTCAATAGGATTATGATGATGATTTTGAAGATGAAGATACACACGAAACGAAAGAGGTATAGTTAATTTCTTTTGTGTTTTGTTAATATAAAAAAAGAGAGTTCTAAAAATCAGATACAGCTATTTTAATTGTCATAAGGAATGTTTTTTTAATTTGACAAGGAAATACTCTTTAAATTATATACTTTTATAAAATCTCACATGTCTTTTTTGGGTATAATTAAAATTATTAATAATAAACCTAAGTTACAGAATTAAATATTTTAAGACGGATGAGATTTTTTTTTTTTCATGCATAGCCAAAATATGGAAAAACTAAGGTAGGGGGGTCTTGAGCTTATACCATTTAAATCAGAAAAATTTTCTCAATCACATTTATATTACTTAATGAATATATGAAAGGCATTTTGTATTTATAAATTTCAGAGTCAATTTCCTTCACTAATCTTTATTTCCAGACAAAAAATGAGATAACATTCTCAAACATGAATATTGAGATTCGCAATAAGTTATAATAACAGGATAATCTTTAATTAGTTATTGATTATGTCTTAACAATTTCTTCCAACACAGATACTTATATATTTGTGCATTAGAGTTGTGTTGTAAATAAGAAATGGAGGTTAAAAAAATAAGATGCTTTCTTAAATGATTTAAGAATGCAACATTTGTAGTGAAAATTGTCTAAGCTTGTAGGATGAAGAAAGATGTTAAGATTAAGATTAAATTTAATGATGTTGGGTAAAATGAAACACAAAATATGTTTTAAATTTATTTATACTCATATTTTTTTCACTAGATGATGGAGTCATATGTGGATAATAAAAAAAAAAGTCATTCATCTTGCTTAGTTAGTACTGAAGTATCAATTATTTTTCAGTTACTGGACACTTTTTTTTCTATTTCTGTTATCATTATTTTTAATCACGTTTACATGTTTTTTGAGTAAAACAAACTACATTTAAGAAAAATGTTTTTACAAAATGGTGCATACATTTTGTCATATCACAGCTAAATCTATTCACTTTTAAACTCATGAGATTTTAAAAAAATTTAAAGCTTATCATTGTCAGATCAGGTAAAAAGTATTGTTTATGGATCTGTGTCTATCAATGTTCATTTGAAGGAGAAAGTAAAAAGATATAACAGATTTTGTATAAATGTTTAGCAGAGTTTTTTTAATTCTCTCCAAAAGACACAAAATGGTCTTCACCCACCAACTGGTCTAGTTAATTTTTTAAGTTCCACTATTCTAGAGATCAAAGCTGTAAATAATCTCTAAATTCTATTATTGCTAAAGAGTAAAATATTGAAGGCTTTTAAATGTTTTAACTGTTTGCCGACTACTTTTCGGTTTAAAAATTCCCATTATTATTTTACTGAACATGGCGGACTCTTTATAACATTCTTAAGTAATATTTGGGAAAAAGCAAACATTTTATCAATATTACAAATTATCTTGACATCTTTAGGTATTTATAAAATTTAAATTTATAATTTTGAAATTGATGCTATGTGTATTAGAAATTTAATGCTAATGATGTCTTTATTTTATATTAATCATCTGTAAATGTAATAATGATTCTTTAATAACTCTTTTCACTTATTAAATATAATGTGCATATATTAAATATGGTGGGAACTAAAAAAGTAGCTCTATGAGGATAAATGGATAGTGTTGGAACATTAACCTATTTAAAATGCTGTCTATTATATCATTATCCATTAAAAGAAATATGTTTATAGAAATAAACGTAAAAAGAAAATATGAAAGATTTGTTTGCAATTTAAATAATGTATTATTAAAATTTCAATAAATCACGGTAAAAAGTAAAGTTCGTTTTTTTTCAGGAAGGAGAAATGGAAGAAGTGCTACGCGCATTAGATGAAGAAAATAACAGACTTGTTTCAACCTCTAGGAGATCTAACTGGTCAGATTCTGTAAGCCATGAATATTCAGAACTGTTTGAAAGGAAAACATTTGTAAACAGATTGCTTTAATTTTGTTTATACTTCATATTAAAATGGCCTTTGTACTGTTGCCTTCAGCACATTTTATTCCCTACCAAAAGAAATAAATGTTGGAATTCAACAGTCTGATTTCAAGCCTTAAGACAAGGTTTAAAACAGCCATTGTTTTTCTCTGTGGCCTAGACTTTATATAACATTTTGTGAATGGACAGGAAGTATTCCATGATCGTGGTGGTTGTGAGACCTTGTACTTTACTGACTCTACCTGAAAATACACTTTTTAGTTTTAACTTTGCCATGTGACAAAACACATTAAAAAAATATTTGTTTAAGTTGACCATAGGTATATTAATGTTTTCAGACTGAGCTTTCAGATGACCGTTTCAAAGACAGTCGAGATGACTATGAGCCTGCTCCTAAACCATCAAAGCCTAAAAGTTTTATTAACTTTTTTTCGGCTAAACAACGGGTGATGGACCACACAGTTGCAGGGAAGGCTCGCAAAAGGTAAAACGCCAACTTTAACTTTCTTTATGCTGTTCATTTGAAACAGGCGCTGATTTATTTCCTATTCAACCAAACCAAACAGGATGTTTGCCTTTTTAAAAAATTTTTTGATGTCTCTCCATCTTTCCAGATATGAAGATCTCTCTAAGCTTATAGAATTAGATGTGTCAAAGTTTGATATGTTTGACCTGCCCCCAGTCAAAGAATATGAGCTCTACATACGTAGCTTTGGGAGATCTGACACAAAACAGGCATACATACAAACAAGGGATGATGACATTGAAAGAGACATCCAAACAGACGAAATTGAGAGTTTGAGCAAGTGGACTCAACACCCACCTGAAGATGAAACTGCTGTAGGAGGTAACTAACAGTCTGATCCAGTTGTATATTTTCTTCGTAACTCATTATATTTAAAAAAAATAATAATTAAGTAAAATTGAATTATTACTTAGGAAAAAAATGCTTTATTTTTCATTGTGCTATATATATTAATTTAGTTATGTTTTAATCTTTAATGTAAAACAAAACAAGTGTATGGCTCAAAGATTTATCATGGCAATGTGCAGAAGTCTTATCTGCTAATGTTACTTTACAAAACTTGCATTCAATTAACGCATTTTATAAGCATCTCAATTAGTGCTAACTTATGGAAATTTTATTTTGTACACCTATAAAAAAAAACAGCATTACAGCAAACATACATACCTAGAGAATTATTTGTGATATTTTTGCGATTCAGTAGTCATGTCTGTTTGATTTATTTTTAATTTGACAAATTATTTTGAATTCCTCCATTAAAAGGCTTAAGATCTTTTGTTTGAAAATAGGTTTATATCTTAATGATATCACAATTTTTCCATTATATTCATTGGAGTTTTTAAAGTAAACAAAACATCCATTCATTATTGATTTTGACAATCAGGGGAAGGAATCAATGTACAGACATCAAAGGACAATGAGAAATCAAGTGGGCCAACAGATCCTGAAAAACTTAATACATTTTTAAACAGAGTTGGCCAGGTATTTGCATTAAAATCTTTAACAAAAATTATTTAGGAAATTTTGAAAAATGTAATCATCTTTTGCTGGTTAAACAATTTAAGCTCAGTCAAAGAGCTGTATTGGAAAAAAACATCAATCTATGAAACTAAATCAATTAAACAAAGCTGCAGTCCATCTAAACCAGGTCTCAATGTGTTCATAAGAATTTATTGCTGGTGCTTTTATATAAGTTTATAAAAATGCTGCTTTTTAAAGCTACTTGAAACAAACATATAATGTTTGTTATATTATTATTATTATATTATATAATATTATTTATACACAAATTCTTGCAACAGTTGCCTTATAACTAATTGTTTTTGTTAAATGACACTTTTTCTAAGAAAATCATTAAATATAATTCATTTTATTAACATGATTAGCTTTAAATAGCAATATCAAAAGAAGATTATTTTTCCATGGGTTTGGAAATGTGTTGTGGCTTAAAATACAAGATAAAACTTCTGCTTAAAAACATGTTTAGTTAACTTTACTAGATAAGCAAAATTTTGGGTAATGATAAAAAAAGACATATTAACTGATTTCCTTGATTTTAGCAGAAATTTGGACCTCCCCACTTTCTAAATGACATCTGAAATTTTCTTTTTCAGTTTCTGTTCACAATTTTGGATGAAGAATCAAAGAGCTCAACAGATGAGGAGAAGAAGAAAGACAGCAAGCCAAAAGCCAGCTTCAGTAAAAAGACTTTTCAGCTTGGGATTTTGAGTTTTTTGAAAGGTAGTAAAAATATTCAACATGCTATCAATACTGAGAGTGAACTGATCTATCTCTGTCACAGTTTTTGTTCTCTAAAGATTTGATAGATCTTAAAGCCTTTTCTGTGCTTTAATGAAGGAAATAGGTATGCTTACAAAAATATTTAAAAAATGTGTATTATTAATAATATCCAGAAGGCATTTTGGGGTTATAATTATATAACTGATGAAGTCTTCTTGCTAGATCTCTAGACATGTATTCTATATAAATAGATTGACCACCCTCAACGGCATGGACATACCATAATAAAAATTAATCCGGGAAAACTTTCTAATTACTGTATTATAAGTAGAAAAGGGTTTAATCCATACCAATAAATGTATATTTGTGTGTAATTTTTGTAAATCTCTTAGTCAATTTTATCTTCCTACCCTTTCTGTCCCTACTTTGTTGATGTCATGAGCAAGGGCTTTACACGATTTTAAATAAATTTAGAGCATGTCTAAATGATGAATTATTTTCTGTCATAGAACGTCAAGTAGTTGCCATGTCATTCTGCCAGTCAGAACCCAATTATCTCCTGTCAGTGCATTCCTCATCAGTGCAGGATGATCGGGTAAGTCTTTTAGTATAGTGACAGGGGAATTTTTGTTTATATAAACTGCTACCGCACCCTATTTCTAACCCCCTCCGCCACTTTTTTTTGTTTAGCTTTATTTTCATTGTATTAGCCTCTATATTAATTATTTATAGGCAGACAATAGTGTTTTACTGGAGGCTAAAATATGTAAAAATCATAGTAACACCTTTTCAATTGAACTTTTTATTGTAGAATTGCCTTCTTTACTAAGTTTGACATGCAGCTACCAAAAAATGGCTTGAATGTTATAATTAGCTTCACAGACATTAAAGTTAAAGATAAAATAATTTTTTTTTACATGTATGCAGCCAACTTAAATTATAACAACCAGTAATACTTAAAATATCATGAAATAAATAAACTGAACTTTTTTAACATAGATCTCATCCGATCCATCTGAAAATAGCCAGTCAGCCTCAGCTGAAATGGTAAGTTTCTTACACAATATTGGTTTTTCTTCAGCTACTTTTCTTAACTCTTCCCCTATTGAGCTTTGTCTGTGTTGAGACTGACTTAATTTCTGATGTATGAAAAAAAGAGTGAATATGCGTTTTAGAAAACTAAATAACTTCAAACTAAAAGTCTGGTAGCCTTGAATTTGATTTCAATGGATGTTATGTTGCAATACGGCTCAGTGCACACTAGAATAATGGCCAGAGAGTATTCTGGGGTTTATTTTCCCTGGGAAGTGTAAAATGATGGATCAGAAAAGTCTAATGGCATCCTCTCAATTACTCAAGTAGAGAATGAATGTGTTGTGTTTGATTTGTATCGCTAAATCAGTATATTTAATTTATGAAATAAGTGAGCCAAAAAATTAGTCCATCATAAGTAGAAGTTTTGTAAAAATTATAAGTGCAACGAAGATAATGATAAACTGCAAAACAAAATAAACTATTAATTTTGCAACACGGATGTATCAACCCACTGTCTAAATACACCTGATGGAAAGCAATATATTGGGTAAAATAGTAAATAACTTATAATTAATTTTTTTAGAGCAAGAATAGATAATAATGAATTTTTAGTCAAATCTTTAAAAAGTCTGGTATATCTGTAGAATTAAAATTTCATAATTTGAATAAATTTGTATATTATGACTTGTTTTTCTACTAATTTCAGAAAAAGAAAGGAGCAGCCATAGATTCCTTATCCATTATATGTGTGTGGAACTTATCTCAGCCTACTTATCCCTACAGGTTTGTTTTCTCTTGGTTTAAATATGCAAGAGCTTGGTCAGTGAGGGCTGAGACTGAGCTCATCATGAATGCTCTATAGGCAGCTGGAGGGGTGCAGTTAAAAAGGCATAACTATGCTGTCAGTCTGGGGTTTGAAACCCAACCAACATTGATGTCAACAAAAGTATTTTAAAAAATGGCATGCTTCAGTTAGATGCACCAGGTCATCATCACAAAACATGATGCAATGATAAAAGATAAGATTCCCCCCCCCCCCCCCCCC